ACCCGGGGCCCGAGGCCGCTCTGTGCGGCACGTGGAGTGGGGGCCTTCTTGCCAACAGCGACCACAGCAACGCGGAGGCACCTCTCGTCCCGGTGAGGGACGGAGCGCGGGGGCCGGGCCCGGAGGCCCGGGAGCGTGTTCTCGGTTGCTGACGAGGCCTGGAGGCCAGCCGGCCGGGGGTGATGAGACTTCGACTCTGGAGAGGTCCCGCGCAGGGGAGCGACCTGTGCTGCTTGGGACCTGTGCCAGGAGCAAAGACGGCGCGGCCCAGAGCGTGCAGGCGGGCGCGGAGGGGCCACTTAGTGGCTCTCCCAGAGCCAATCCACCTTCTGGAGTAGGGGGTTGCCGTGCCCCGCTGTTAGTGCCCTTCTTTTAACTGAGGCTTGGGCCCTTTGACTCGAACCCTCCCGTCTCTGGTGCAGGAAAAGGTTCAAAGGCGCCCTCGAAAAGATGCTGAACGCGAGTCCGGGCCTTGCGTGGGTCCCAGTTTCACTGTGACCTTGAGCCTGACCATCTCTGCCTTGGGGAAGGGGTCTGAGGCCATCGGGAGGGTGTGAGCTGTGTCTGTGGGGCTGGGTACAGGCAGATCCTATTGAAGCTGGTGGATCTAGGGGGAGGAAGCATAAAGTACACCTCCGAGATAGAACAACAGTGCTCTGAAGGTTCCCTAGAAAGGGCAGCTCTGTCCAGAGAAGTCACTGAGAACCCAGCTTTTCGTGATATCAGAGGTAGATAATAACCTATTTGCAATTTAAGACTCCTGTGAAAATTGATGCAAAGCTGAACAAAAATTAGATGGAGAGACTAGTTGGTGCCCTGCAGGGAGTATAGTAAGAAATCTAGAATTGATCAAGCCCTTTAAGGGTAGGGTGAGAATTATAATTTAGAGGGAGAGATGGACATGGAATTGTAACCAAAAAAATCTCACTATCACTTACGCACTAGATTCTGCTGGGGATACAGGCTAATCGGACATAGGCATTGCTCCTGGAGTCTCACATCTCTAATGGAGATAAGATGTGGACTCAAGTTTTTAACTGAAATACCAGCTGGAAAGGACAGTTAAAATGCTGAGGAAGGTCAGGAGGGTAGGTCAGAGAAGTAATGGAGGTGAGAGGGTATAATTAAGCCAGGTTTGAAGGCATTATATGAGGAATGCTGAGCAAAGGAGAGAAACCGATCTCAGTCAGCTATACCTAAAAGGAGAGGCCTGTGGCTAGACTGCAGTGGGGGGAAAGGCAGAATCTCTGGGTGGTTTGGCAGGATGCTCCCCGCCCCCCGCCCCCCGCCCTGCTGTCATTGCCTGGCCCTTTTCCTAGTAGCTTCTGATGGATAAGTACCATTACCTCAGGTTTTCAGTGCTTCTTTTCCTTCCTAATCAGAAACCGACCAGAAGGCAAAGTTTTGGAGACAGTGGGTGTGTTTGAGGTGCCAAAACAGAATGGAAAATATGAGACTGGGCAGGTAAGTGCCAGGCTGGGTCATCATCACATTTTCATGGAGTTTCTGCTCTGCAAGTGTCAGAGTGAGCCATAGGCCTGAATGTTACGATTTTCTGCCTTGTCTTTTTCCTGTGTACCTCTTCCCAGTACAGGGCTCCACTTTTAGGAGCAAAAAGGGAAGTGATCCTCATAAAGTGAATTTTACTACCCTGCTTAGGTAGACCAGGCCAGACAGTTTTTTTTTTTTTAAAGATTGGGTTTCTCTTTTTCTTAGCTTTGAGTACTTTTTATGTGTCACTAGGTTCTCTTTCTTTCCAAGTATGGACAGAGATGATTTGAACTATAGTGTGGGGACAGCCAAGTTGCTGACAAATCTGTGAATGTGGTGGATGTTTTGAAGTCAGTGGAGAGAATTTTCAGAAAATCACACCTTTGATCCTTTGAACTGTTTGAGGCTCTTTTTCTGTATCAACTTTGTGGCAGATCCACTGAGATGGATTTAGGGCCCTTGTGGGCTAGGACTTTTTGCTCAGCGTTTTTCCATTCATTTGTGTATATCTACTATGGCCTGGGCATTGTGCATTGGGATAGTCAGAAAGCAGTGCCCTCATGGAGTTCAAGGTCTAGCAAGCAGTTACTGATCTGTAAATGACTCGATGTGCACTGTGCCATGTGGCGGGAGCTCAGGAAGGCCTTCCAAGAGGCCTACGCTGCAGGCTAAAGAATGAATAGAGGTTAGCCAGGTAAAGAACCGGGTGGAATATTCCAAAGTTGGTCTGGGTGGACATAGAGTTCAAGGGAAAGAGTGATGGGACCTTGTGCTGCGTTGCCACTGCCTGTGCCACTAGTGGCCAACCCCACTTGCCTGGACTCGCTGGACTGTGTTCTCATTGAGGCCTCTTTCCTCCCAGCTTTTCCTTCATAGTGTTTTTGGCTACCGAGGTGTCGTCCTGTTTCCCTGGCAGGCCAGACTATATGATCGGGATGTGGCTTCTGCAACTCCTGAAAAGTAAGTTTCCCAGTCATCTGTCTTATAATATCTCCGGAGGAGGCCTGACTCATGGCAAACATACGTAACAGGGGCCCCAGGGGTGAAAACTGTATCCTCTGGGCCTTGGAAACAGCCCCTGAGTACTCCATCACAAAACAGCCATGGAGACAAAGTACCGAATGCCAGTGACAGTCTTAAGCCCAAGCACTCCTGTAAGCCTCCCAGGATGTTTCCAAGATAGTCTCAGTTTTCATTACAAGCCTGTCTTGATTTCTTTCTTTTTTTAAAAGATTTATTTATTTATGCATACAGAATTGTGCAAGGGTGGTGGGAGGATTCACCAGAGATCAGCTGTGTGGATTTCTTAATGTTCAGTTAGACTCTCCCTTGATCTATTGTCATCACTGGAGTACATTGAGGAAAAAAAAAAGATTTCTCTTTCTTAAATGATCCCAGCCTCTGAAATGTGAGAGGAGTGGTGGGGGTATTCTGGGCTCCAGGTACTCAAGGTATCAGCTTGATTTTCTCAAGGTAGCCCCCATCTTCCAAGAGACGTCAGAGAGTAAAGGCAGGAGATGACTCTGTGGCATGGTCTTCACCTCATCGTTTGGTCCAGGTGGGGGTTGACTGGCCAGGATGTCACCGAGCAGGTGCCTGGCCAGTGCTAATGCCAGTTCAGAGCAGGACTAGCATGTTTAAGTAAGGAGACAGTAGGGAGTGGGGCATCACTGCTTCTGTTTCTCTCAGGGTAATCTTGGGCTTCTTTTACCCCACAGAGCAGAGAACCCAGCGGGCCATGGCTCCAAGGAGGTGAAAGGCAAAACTCACACTTACTATCAGGTGCTGATTGATGCCCGAGACTGTCCCCATATAGTAAGTAAGCAAGATGGCTGGGCCTGTGATTTGTCTCCGTGGGAAATGCCTAAATCCTCATGGGAATAAATGGAGGGGAAGGGGCCAAGTAGAGCCCTAACGCAGGGCCCTTCGTCCTCACTACTGGGTATTAAACAAGAAAGGCTCTGACTTGTTTCTTGCCTTAGTCTCAGAGATCTCAGACAGAAGCTGTGACTTTCTTAGCTAACCATGACGACAGCCGGGCCCTCTATGCCATCCCAGGTGAGTAGTGAGCGTCTGAACGGTACCTGTCAAGGAGGGTTCTGGTGTATCTTAAGGAGAGGGTTCTGATGTCCTCTGTCTGTGAGGAGGGCTGGTAGATGCTGAGAGCAGTGGTGCCAGCGGTGTCCCCCCCGTGACAAGCTAGGAATTACCTTTTTCTTTGTAGTCCTGATTCTCTCCTCTCAGGTGAGTTTCACTATCTCTGTCATTCTGTGCCAGGCCTAGACTATGTAAGCCACGAAGACATTCTCCCTTATACATCCACCGATCAAGTTCCCATCCAGCACGAACTCTTTGAAAGATTTCTTCTGTATGACCAGACAAAAGGTAATCTCTCAAGAAGGGAAATTGGAGTGGAGGGCCCTTGCTTTAAGAGAGCAGCATAGAGATAACTCGGAGCTGTTTCCACGTCTGTTTAACCTCTCATTAGACTTGCCACGTAGATAGATCTCTGCCTGGCTCAGGAATGATGGGAAGTGGTTCATGGTTGCCAGTTGGTGGCAGAGGAAGGTCTGAAAACCAGGACCCCGAGTTTCCAGCCATTTTTCTTCCCAGGATGCCACATACCTCCTAAGGGCTTATGCTTAGGCAGAACAGCTCTCTGCCATCTCCCCACCGGTGCTGTGGCTTCATGTTAGGGTGTCTTACTTACCTGGGCCATCCTTGGGAAGGGTTTTCTAGGAAGGATATTTGAAGAGTTGGTGCAGGGCATTGGACTCTGGCCTTGATTAACCAGTGTTTTCTTGCCCAGCACCCCCTTTTGTGGCTCGGGAGACACTACGGGCTTGGCAAGAGAAGAATCATCCCTGGCTTGAGCTCTCTGATGTCCATCGGGAAACAACTGAGAACATTCGAGTCACTGTTATCCCTTTCTACATGGGCATGAGGGTATGTGTCCATATTGGGTCCCTTCCACCAGGTTTAGGCCCCCAGATTCTGTGTGAGGTCCCCAGTGAGACTGCAGGAGTGGGCTTGACATTTATTATTACTTTTTATTTATTTACTTTCTTTTTTGATATTCATTTTTATTTATTCATGCATGAATTGGGTTATGGGCTAGAGGTGTGGGGGTTTCACCTGAGACAGAGTGGGGAGCAGAACAGGCAGGTCCACTGAAATACACTGCTGAGCAGAACAATGGGTGAGACAGGAGAGGTCTGCTGCATCATGTGGGTCGGCTCCCTGGCTGGGGGTTGCAGTCGGGCTATAGTGGCTGAGGATAGCTTGATAGCGCTGAGATTTAACCTCTACCACCAGGGCAGCCCTGGGCTTAAAATTTAAAACACTCACATGTGGTCTGCTTCCAAGTCCTGCTTGTGTTGGGTGGGGTTAGCTGCCTCCTGGCAGTGGCTGACACCAAGATCTCCAGCAGAAAAACCCAAGAAGTCCTTCAGGCAGACTTCTCTCCTGGCCATGTTTGTAAAAGATTTACACATACCTAGATCAGGGTGGGCTGATCTTCACACTTTTATTCATTATTCAGACTTCTATTCAGTTGTTTCTGGCTTGGCTCCAAGCTAGGTCCTGAGAATACAAATAGAAATGAGACACACTGTTCCTGCCTTCCAGGAACTCACAGCTGAGGGAGGACAGCATACAGTTTACTGAGTATTGGATAAGGTTGGGCTGCTCCAACCTTGTTGGGAGGGCCAAGAGAGCAACGGCTTGGGTCTGTAGTGATGGGCTGGCAGGGAGGGGGTTAATAAAAGGAAGAGCCCTGTCGCTGATTGGCAGGTGCCCAGCTCTAGACAATGTGGAGGGCGACCAGGAATAGACCCAGGAAGGCTACCTCCCTGTGAACGTGTTGGCCATTGTCCAGGCATCATCATTCTTCTGGAATACATCTACTCCATTGGAGAGATGATTGGAACACACTAGCTTCTGCGCAATAGGACTTAAAGTCTGATGTTTTTCCCCCTAGGAAGCCCAGAATTCTCATGTCTACTGGGTAAGTGTCTCCCTCCGGGAGAAAGTAAGTGCCTGAGAAGGCAGTTTGGGAGATGGTGTTTACCTCCTTGGGGGGTAGGGGTTGTGCAGTGAAGGTGTCAGCCTTTGTTGTCTTTTGCTTTCCCCAGAATTCTGGGCCGAGGTCTGTTCTTTGTGAAATGTGACTTCTCCTCTCCATTCCACAGTGGCGCTACTGTATTCGCTTGGAGAACCTCGACAGTGATGTGGTACAGCTCCGGGAGCGACACTGGAGGATATTCAGTCTGTCTGGCACCTTGGAGACAGTGCGAGGTCGAGGAGTGGTGGGCAGGGTGAGCATCATCAGGCCAACAAGGCCCAGTTTCTGGTGCTGCCCAGCAGATCTGGGGTGTTGCCAGTGACTTCCTCCTCAGTGGTTTGGGACAGAGGCTTAGTGTCTGAATGCATTGAGATGTTTGTGTTATAAACCTTACAACAACCCTGTGAAGTAGATTCTTAAACCTGTTTTATAGATGAAGAGTAAGGTTGTGAAGTAACTCATGACCCTACAGCTAGGCAGGGCGGTGAGTCTGACAGCAAAGTGTGTGTTGGATGTTTGTTGCCTGCCGTGTCTTCTGTAAAAAGCCTGGATCAAAATCTGCCAGGCGAGCATGTGCCCCTCACCCACTGTTGGTTCTTCCTCTGCCCCTTTACACACGTTCATCCTTGTTAGTCCTTGAATAGATGGGATTTTGCCATTTCTGAACGACCTCACCTTGTCTCCTGAGAAATAGTCACAAGAAGTAGCCAAGGGCCACATTCAACAAGCATTTTACCAAGTCGGTGATGCGTTGGTAAAGCAGGGTGGGATCGTGAGGGCAGGCTTTGCCCTGACTCTGGCTTCAGATGTTGGCTGTGTTGTCTCCTTACTATATAACTTTGGGCAAGTTACTTAACCGAAATCTGTTTCTTATTGTTAACATGGGTATCGCATCTGTTACTTTAGGCTTACAGGAAGGCCAAGGTTTGTAGAACAGGGTGCCTAGTACGTACATACTCAGTAAATGGAGGCCAGAGGGGCACTTAAGATGAGATTGCGCCTAGCATCTTTGCCTGGTGTCTAGACATTCAGCCTGAGATGGTCTCCCCAGAGTGAGAATAAAAGACCCAGGTCGCTGGCCACCCTGTGCGGAGTGGTACCGGCAGGCAGCACGTGGCTGTAGATGGAGAATGTGTGTGACAGCTTTTGCCTGACTCTCACAGGAGCCAGTGTTGTCCAAGGAGCAGCCTGCATTCCAGTACAGCAGCCACGTCTCCCTTCAAGCTTCCAGTGGGCACATGTGGTGAGTGAGCACGCTCCGGGGCAGGGGAGACTTGCTCCACAAACGCTAACTGCAGGTCAGAAAGTGAGAACTCATCACAAACGCATCACTTGTTAAATCCGGGCCAAGTTAAGTCCCGAGATGGCGGCCTATGCGTTGTGCATTGTGTGGGACTGCGCTGATTTTCTGCCTGCCTGTTTTACAGTCCATGATGTTGCTGTGGATTTAGATTTAATGTTACATATTTAGATCTGATACGAGTGAGTCAGACATCAAAGCTTATGTTGAGCTTTTGTTGCCTGTAGTGTCTTTTATAAAGTATGAATTAAAATCTGGTGGTGTAGTTTGGTGTTCTCCCTGGCATATCACTTCCTAACCTAGAAGTGGTGTTGGGTAGTTTATGTGGTGCGCATCCATGGGCCAGTCAGGACAGCTGTTGTTTCCCTTAGGGCTGGGAAGGGCTCTTGGATCTCTGGATTAGCATATCCTCTCATGAGCCAGGCAGGAGATCCCAGTCCTGCCTCATCCTGCTATGGTTCTGCCACTGAGGCCTGGGCTCTTCGGTCCTCAGAGCTCAGTTCTCACCTTCTCTAAGTCAGCTTCTCTCTGACCTGCAGGGGTACGTTCCGCTTTGAGAGGCCTGATGGCTCCCATTTTGATGTCCGGATCCCTCCCTTCTCTCTGGAAAGCAATAAAGATGAGAAGACACCACCTTCAGGCCTTCACTGGTAGGCCAGCTAAGGCCCTGAGTGCTTGGCTCCTGAAGAACAGCTCTTCTCCCACGATTGCTGCAGAACTTTCTCCATCATGGGCCACAATAGGTCTCTTAAATTGTTTGCGCCATTTGAGTGTAGGGTTCTTTTTTTGGGAGGTGGGGCATAACTTTCTTCCAGAAGACCCATGTAGGACTCTTCCAAGTCTGGCCTCCCCCATAAACCCTGCCGACACTGTGTTCCAGTCAACTTTTCCACGAGGAACTGTGTTCAGCTGTCACAGAACTGGAACAGTTTCCTGGCCTGTCAGGCAGCTGTTTGGAATGTGAGGTTTGGTCAATAAACAGTGCACGCTTGGCCACCCTTGCCATTTCTGCCCCGAGGGCTTCAGGCTCCCTTTTTGACTTAATGGAGGCCCTTGATTACTTTCCTTGCTGCTCTACCAGGAATCTGCCCCTTCTACTGGGTTATGAAGCTGGGAGTTGGTTGGGTGTCACCCCAGGTCACTGTGCCTGGATAGGGGCTGGCCTGGACTCTCACCTTGTCATCACTTCTGCCAAGTATAGAGACGGCCAGCATCAGGATGCAAGGAGTGGCCTGGTTCTTACTGCTGGCCAACCACTGGCATCTCTGGCCTTCCAGCCTGGGAGAGGAGTGAGGCAAGCCAGTCTGCTTTGGGCTTGCCCCCTAACACACATCTGTCAAGCATCCAGACTACAAATGGAGAAACTTAGTCAAGGAGCTTAGGCATGAAACTAGCAACCTATTTTCTGAGTTTCTCAAAGGTTTTCCAACAGCCAGAGGTGAGTTGTGCTATATTTTCCCCTGATTCTTAAGATTCCTGCTCCCGCACCACCATAGTGATTGTTAGAGATCATTTCATTCTTGAATTAATATTAAATCTCAGATCCAGCCCTTATATGTTGTCCTTAATCCTCCACCAGGGGGAGCTTGGGTTGCAGGGCAACTGAGTGTAATCAGACTTAATTCTAGGGAGAACAAGGTCAAGCAGTGGACAGAAATTCAGAACTAAGCCCATAGCAACAAGCTGACCAAGGTACACTGATCGTAAGCACAGATCTACCACTGTAGTGTAACAGGATTTTATTAGAAATTAGTGCTTGTTTCCATCTTGTTGAACAACAAAGACCCAGTAATGGTAAATGTGGGTTAACAGCAGGCTTCCAGTGTTGTCAGAAACTGCCAAGTTTGACCTTCAGCCACACTTTTCCCTGGGTTGCCAGGAGTTGAAAAGTTTACACAGCCTGGAGCCACTTTCTGAAGGAGGCTGGGAAGATCAAAATTCCCCAAACCCTTAGTCTATAAAGTATGACCACAGAAGCCAAGATCACTTCAGTGTTAGTATTTTTCTTAAGACTGAAGAGATTTTTCACTCAGGGAGTTAAAAGCTGAGTCCCACACTGTCTGTGCTTTCTCAAGAACTGGTCACCACTGAGCTAACCGAGGACCTAGATATCAAAGCAGTAGCAACTATAGGGGCTGAGGAAGAGAGGTGTTGAAATTCCTCCATGAGGCACAAGGACCTTTGAGTGTTAGATTTCAGGAAAGTGCTTAAGAAACTGGCCACTGGCTCCAGGAGAAAGCATTCTAGTCTCCTAGAGAAAGCCACAAAACCAAAGCCAAAATCAGGCCAAAGCAGTGGATTTGTCTTCATCTTGTTATTCCAGTGAGGGCTGGAAGAACTGTAGTGGATCACCAGGGTGCCTCCCCTGAAAGGCTTATTTATACATTCAAAACTGTCCAACAAGTATAAAACATCTGATTGGAGCTGCATTTCCCCTGGTCCATGTCATTTCAGGTCTGTGCGTTTCTACTTACCCTTGGGCCTGGCATTGTCCACAGACTCTGGGGTCAGCCGTGAGCAACCACTTGGCTATGTAGCAAGAGGACCGGGCGGGTACTGCTGAGTGGCTCTGCTGCCTCAGGCTGCCTGATGAGCTCCCTCCCTGAGGGCGTTCATTCCTTTGGCTATGAATTCAGATACGAAGCCTCTCAAGTGGCAAGCCAAACAAAAGGGAATGAAAGCCAAGCCCTGAAGAGGAACCCATAGAGAGCTGGTGCTTGGCAGCCCCACAGCCAAGTTCCCCAACAAGAAAGGAATGATGGCCTTGAGAGGGCTCAGCTGCTCATACCATCCTGTGTCGAGACTCACGGTGGCAGAGGCGCCAAGCACAGCCAGGGCACAAACCCAGTAGCATGGGCTGGGGAGGTGGACATGTGGCCAAGCAGGGGCCACTACGCCAGCTCCCAGAAGGGCGGAACTCTGTACCAGCGGGCCGAGGCTGACGCACATGCAAGTGTGGGCGCACAACCTTCCTGCTGCAGGCCACGCTGCTTTCACCTCAAGCAGCATCCAGCCCCTCTAATGGCTCTTTGGCTTTATACTCAGGACAGCATGCCTCAGAGCGCAGGGAAAGAGTCAAAAGAAACCCATTCATATTAGGCCCTAGGAGTCTGACTCCAAGATGGAGGGTAAAATGTCCTTCCTCAGAGGGGTGCTCTTAGGCCCTCAGGCCCAATCACACTTTCCTTCCTCATGGCACTTGGACAGCCCTACGAAGTCAGAGCTGGTCAGTCTGAGGTGGTTTTTTTTTTTTTTCCTGCTTCTATTCCTTTCCTCAGATTGATTGTGCAGGAAGAAGGGGCAAAAAAAGACAATGTGGATCAGGGCAGTATACAAGTACCCCGAGGGAAAGTAAAAAAGTGCTTTAAAGAAATAGATCCCAAAGGCATGGAGAAGGGCCAACAGTTCTGCCTCACCTAGGGTAAGGCACCCTGAAGGGGAAGGAGAAAGCCCCACTTCCTTTACTGTTAGATTTAAAACTACTCATTTCCTAGGTTATTTTTAAAAAACCAAGCTCATCAAGCTTGTGCTTAGGAAAAAGGGGGCCCATGTAAGAAACTGGGTTTCCACAGCACAAGGAACCACCTTTCCCACAGGATGAACCCATCCCATGGGCCTCAGCCAGAGTTCTAGGGGAATAGCCCTTCAGTAGAGGAAGGGGTGCTCAGCGAAGCTCTCAGTGGCAGGTGGGAAATTCAGTCCATTTATCCCAGAACTGGAAGCTGCTCCCTGTCAGACAGGCAGAGATGCTGAGCAGAGGGGCTCAGGAATCAGGGCAGAAGCATGTTGTTGCTCCCCTGCTCAGGCCCTCTGACCTCCCAGGCGGGGCCTGTCATGTCTCCAGGTGCTGGAGCAGTCTCAGACAGCAGCAGCAGTGTGGGCTGGCCAAGGGGGCAGGGTTCCCCAGGAGAGGAGACAAGGTGTCCAGTGCTCCGACTGCCCGAGGGTCCTGTCAGTCACGATGGGCAGACTGGTGGCTGAGCTGCCTGTCGTCATAAGTGCTGTAGCGCTTGACATGGATGCGACGGACACGGTCCCGCAGTTCAATGGTCTCCTCGTCTTCACTGGGGGAGGCCTGACTGCGGCTACGGCTTGTGGCCTCCAACAGGGAGTTGTCAGGGACTCGGGGGGTCTCGTAAAGTAGGACATTGAGTGTTTCCTCGTAGATTCGGGCCTCTGGAAATTCTACCTGGAATGTGGGGACAAGAGGACTGAATGAGGTTTCATCCCAAGGATGGAGCACACAGAGAGTGAACTGTCCTGCCCTGTACCTCAGCAAAGTCTTGCAGTCTCTAACATGTGTTGATGGGGCGAGGAGGGAGGGATAAGGCAGATACTCTCCAGGAAGGACAGTCTGCTTGCAGTCTGGCAGGAGGGGGTTAGTTAGCAGAGTATATGTTAAGGATCTTCTGTCAAATCCCTCACTGTGCCTGGCACTGACAATGCAGAGGCAAAGCTGGCTGACTGACCAGAAACACCAGCCATACCACCCAACAGCAGCAGCCAGAGAGATGAGAATGGCTATTTCCACCACATCGTGCTGCTTCACCTAAGAACTTGTAACAGCTGCGTTGCCTAAGAACCTGTTACAGCTGCTGTAAATACATGTCATCTTCATGCTTGCAAAGGAGTAAACTGAGGCCTAAATGGCTCCAGTGGCCTGTCCAAAGTCCTGACATTGATAAATGGTGGAACCAGAACTCAAACCTGAATTGGGGTAACCTCAAACATCTGGTTCTTCCCCTGAAAGCAAGTTACTCACTGCTGGTCAATGGCCCCCTCTACTCTGGGGCTGATAAGGATAAACATTTCTGGGCCCTTCCTGTGGCGCAAAGGCTTAAAAGCGCAGCTTCCTGCAAGTTCAACCCCTGCCCCAAGGTGAGCCACAGGTGCAGCAGACCTCCTGCTGCCCTCAGCAGGGGATGGTGAATCCTCTTACTGCCCCTGCACCTCTGGCATATCCCTCAGTTCTGTATTATATATAAATCAATCAATCAAAAAAAAAAAAAGAACTGGCTTTGTCCTTGTCTTGCGCCATCATGGTGAGTTTGGGGACGGCCAAACTTTCCACCCCTCACTGGTGAAAGGGCCAGTCCAGTCAGGGCTGTGCTGGTGAGCGTGTCCCACTCCTCCCCTGCAAAGCCCCCACACCTTGGTCTGCTTCTTCTCTGTGGCATACACGATAGAGGTGCAGCACACCTCTGCCAGCTTCCGGCCTTGGCCATAGAAGGACCAGCAGCATATCTCATCACCGATGACGTCCTTGATGAAGAGCACACGGCCATTGAAGCGCAGGGACAGCTTGTCAAACAGCTCAATGTTTTTTAGCAGGTGATCGTCAGAATTGCTGAAAAACCCACAAGAGCCAACAGGCCTGAGAATGAGCCTCCAGCACAAGGGAGGGTGGCAGCTGAGCCCCACTCCACTCCACTGCTGCCCTCCCTCAGCAGGAACATTCTTTGCTGTAGGGAGCCACTGAGAGAACATGGCGCTCTGTGCCTGCAGCCTCCTGTGTTCACCTAATTGTGGCCTGTTGCAGACATGGGGTGGGGTAAGGGGCCCAGCTTTGAAGTGTGAGGGCTGGCTTAGGTGTCCCATAAGAATGCTGGGGAAACCCCTGGATGCAGCCTGACATGGCATTACATGTTCAGTCTCGTCTATATCCTAAGGCTCTGTTCTAAGTTCCAAATGCCTCTGCCCTGATTTCCTGTCTACTGTTTTTCTCTCCTGAAATCCAGACCAATACCAGCCCTGTCAGTATGGTGACTTCTCTGGGGTCTTCTCTCTGGCTGCTCAGTCCTCTCAGATGCTGCTGTGGCCTACCCACCCCCTGCCCTGCTGACGGCCACCCTACCTGGTGTAGGAATACTTGTTGTTGCTCCTATTGTACAGCAGCTTCACCACGGGCTGTGAGGGGAGAGTGTGAGGTTAGAACCAGGGCCCCAACATCTCTGCCCGTAGCCCTCAGGGGTTCCTGAGAAGTCCCCCTACCTTGGTGGAGGATTCGATGAGCTTCTCTTCCTCTTTCAGGGATGTGATGATGGGGATGTTGCACACAGGCTGGTACGAGTCCTTCTTGTCCTGGGTGACACAGCCAAGAGTCTTGCTTGAGATCTGCTCACCGTGCTTGGCCAGTCTCCCCAGGAGTTGCCAGAGCCCCTCTACTAAGACCACCCTGCATGCTGAGGACTGTTAGGCAGAGATCAGCAGGACCCTCATAGTTAAAACTGGCAGCTGGCAAGCTGAATGCACTTCCAAAGAACCTAAAATCCAGACTAGGCATATAAGGTAGAAGCAGGGCCTGGTGAGACTGCCTGATAGCCACCCTGCAAACTCACTTGACCTGGGAAACACCTGGGTGTATCTAACTGGGTTCAGTCTCACAAGCACACCTGCCACCAACCTTCCAGGAACAGGGCCCTCACGTCTGAGGAGGGGCCAGCTCCCCACTGCAATAACCTACCACACCTTGGCATACCTGCAGGGCAGTCTGGCACATGTCCACCAGGCCCTGAATGAGGTAATATTTCGCTTCGGCCATCAATTCTTTGATTTCTTGTCGATTTTGAGGGAGGATGATGGTGTCATCGCGGAGGTAATTCAAAATGGTGCCGAAATGCTTTCCACACCGGTCAATGAGGATCCAGCCTAGGGATTCAACAGGTCCCAAGGGTTACTGTTTGCCTCCAGGTACTTCCCAAGCAGGGGCATGCAAAGGCCATGACCAGCCTGGCAGTAAATGGCCAGGAAAGACACACATGAGTGAGGAAGCGGAAGTGGGACAGAAGCTCTTCCTCGCAGGTCCATGGCTGCTCCTCACCCCTGCCTGAAACCAAGGACTCACACACACTTTGGGAGGCAGCCCCCCGGGCTCAGTGGAGGCCCACAGAGCTCTCGGCAACACACAAATGCCAGGCATCTGCCTGGCCACTGCCATCACCCATTATGGGACAAGATCTAGTTCTAAGTGAACACAAAATAAGTATGGATCTTTTCCCCAGTATACTTCATTCCATGTTTACTTTCAAGGACTTCTGAAGCTCTTTTAAGGACTCCAGGTGAACAAGAAAGTGAATCTAGATTCTAGATCTGCCAGGTTAAGCCCCGCCCTGAAAGCACGCCCTCAGGAGGAACTCCTCATCTCCCCCTCAGTCCCCAACAAGTCCTCACCTTCTTTGTCGGTCAGCACCTCCATGCGCCCGCTAAACATTGCCTTGAGCATGGTGTCTTGCCGGGTCAGCGCCCGCACAGTGGTGTAGTACAGGGAACCACCCACGTTGAGTTGCACGTACTTGTTGCCCAGGCCTCCTCCCTTGAAGCCGCTCATCTTGGGCTTGGCCCCAGAGGCTGGGCACAGACAGGTATCCCCCGACATCTCCCGCTGCAGGTAGATCACCACACGGCAGGAAGTCAGTTTGGAAGGTTCCGCCGTGGTGAAAGGTCACAAGAGAGTGGCCGGCGGAAGCCAGAGCCTCATACTCTCAGCACTGTTGAGCAGAAGGGAGAGAAGACAGGAGTCAACAAGAGAAAAGCCCTCATCCCGGAGGAAACCACAGGATAAACAACGACCATCCAGCCATTGCCTCCACAATCGGTCCAAGACTCCCTGGCAGAGATTAAGACCTAAGTCAGTGGCAAGAAAGATGTACTCACTGTTCTCTATGGGACCAGGGTCTGAGCTCAGTGTCCCCAAGTCTAATGTTGGTCACTTAACTACATACCTGAGATGCAGCTCATCTCTAAGCAGCAAAGAGGACAATAAGTGGGCCCTCCCTGGTAGTGCCACGGCTTAAAGCACAGCACCATGAAGCTATCTACAGACACTTCTGCACAAGTTCGATCCCTGGCCTAGGAGGTGACCCAGATGGCGCAGCAGACCTCTCCTGTCTCGCCCAGTGACCCCTCAGCAGTGTACTTCATCAATCTGCCTGTTCTGCTCCCCATTCTGTCTCTGATGAATCCTCTCACCACCCCCGTACCCCTGGACTGTACCCCAGTTCTGTATGCATAAATAATCTTTAAAAAAAAAAAATGAGCCCTTGGAGCCAGTCTGAGATGGCTTGAGGAACAGAAAGAGCAGAGAAACCACCCTTACCGTGGAGACCCACCAGACAGTCCCAGGATCTGGGACTTCTAGCCAAACCTAATCCAGTCGGCCTGGGAGTTTCTCAGGAGCCAAGGACAGGATGCATTTCCTTTCTGGCGATTTCAGACTCAGAAGCAGCCTGCAGCAGAGTTTACTGAGTGTCACCCAGAGCCTGGCTTTGGGAAGGCAAGTAAAAGCAGTTTCATGGGCCCTCATGGGTGGCGCAATGAGTGAAAGCACAGCACTCTCTGAAGCCACTGCCCTACAAGTTGGATCCCCGGCCAGGAGGGTGACCCGCAAGGCACAGCAGACCTCTCCTGACCCGCCCGCTGCTCCCCTCAGCAGTGTACTTCATCGATCTGCCTGTTCCGCTCCCCACTCTGTCTCTGGTGAATCCTCTCACCATCCCACACTTCTATCCTGTACCCCAGTTCTGTAAGCATAATATAAAAAAAAAATAGTTTTAGGAGATCATGGAATGGGCCAGGCTGGAGGAAGCTGGAGTAATTTTGGCGGTGGACACACTGGCTCTAGCTAGGGTTTCCTGACCTCCCCCTTCCCCGGCACCAGTCCTGTCCCAAGTTCCTGAAATTGTCCCCATTTTCTAGGATAGAACAACTACAGGATGGCTATTTTTGCTTCTTCTTCCTGTAAGGGGGCCCAGCCTTCTCTCTTCCTCAGATGCCTCTTAACAAGAAAAGTGAGAAAGACTTAGCAAAGACCAGGTGATCAGTTTAAAAACTAAGTGATTTGGAAACTGAAACACAAACAGGAGTTTGCTGGAGGGAGAAGTGAAGAAAGCAAAGGAGGGCATTTTATCCCTCATGGTTTTTTGTATTGTATGTTTTGGTTTTCTTAAGAATCACTAAAGTGGCCCTTCCTGGTGGCGCAACAGGTTAGGATGCAGAATGGCAAGCCAGCTGCAGCCACTTTAGTGTGAGTTTGATTCCTGCCCCAGAGGTGACCCACATGGTTCAGCAGACCTCTCCTGTCTCGCCTGCTGCTCCCCTCAGCAGTGTACGTCATCCATCTGCCTATTCCGCTCCCCACTCTGTCTCTGTGAATCCTCTCACTGCCCCTGCACTTCTGGCCTGTACCCCAGTTCTGTATGCATAAATAAATAACTCTTTAAAAAAATCACTAAAGTTTACTCACTTAAAAAATAATAGCATTGCATGTGTGCCCTATATCCCAGGTACCAGCCAGGCATGTAGTATTTATTAGGTCATTTAATTTTTTCAGCAATAAAAACAACATTGAGTGTTTACTATGCTAAGCAGTAGGGATAAACAGAGGAAGAGACACTTGTCCTTGTCTTCAAGAAGTTTCAAGAAGCCTCACAATATTAACAAGAATAGAGTCAGAGCTATCATTTATTATGCTCTTGCTATGTGCCAGGAAATGGAGAAAAGACAACAGACATGGCCTCCTGCAGCTTATAGTCTAGTGAGTGAATACAATGGACAAGAAAAAAGGATAAATAAGCAAACAATTCCAAAAGGTGGTAACTGCGATAAAAACAAGAAACAAAATAGGTGCAACATGAGGGACTAGGGAGAAGCCAGAGAAAGTATCTGTTGGAAGATGACATGCCAGCTGACAGAACATTCCAAATGGAAAGTAAATGCAAAGTTCTTTAGTTCTGTTTTTTTTTTTTTTTAAGATTTATTTATTTATGCATACAAGAATTGGGTACAGCCCAGAGGTGCAGGATGGATGGTGAGAGGATTCACCAGAGACAGTGGGGAGCAGAACAGGCAGACTGAAATATGCTGCTGAATAGCAAGCAGGTCAGAAGAGGTCTGCAGCGCCATCTGAGTCACTTCCCTGCCTGGGGTTCAAACTCAGGCTGAAGATAGCTTCATAGTGTTGTGCTTTACTTGCTGCACTACCAGGGAGGGCCTGCAAAGTTCTTTAGTTCTATACAAATTTTGGGGACAGAAATAAGGCCAAGAAGGCTGGCGTATAGAAAGAAGGGGGAAATGTGCCTAATATAAAGACAGGGATGGAAATTATATTAAAAACTTTAGATTTAATACTAATTTCAGTGGGAAGTGATCAGAATGTTTTAATGACAAGAGAGCTATGCTCTGAGTTACTTCTATTTTGAAAAGATCTCTCTGGCTGCTGTACAGAAAAGGGATTGTTAAAGGTGCAAGAGAGGAAACAGGCAGACCAGAGGAAGTGGTAGTCTAGGCCAAGAGATGATGAAGGCTGGAATGCCAGGGTTGAAAATGGAGATAGACAAAAAGAAGTATCTTATTCAATCATTACAACCTGCAAAAGCTGACAGCTGCTCATCCTCTCTTATGAGCACAACCTCAGAAGCAGCGCACTTGTCTTCCCACTCTCTGCTACCCAAACACTGCTTAACACAATGCCACACACATGTTAAAGTAGTTACAGTTAGCTTGTCTGACTCAAATTACCCCTGAAAAGATTTTGGCAGGTCAGGGAGAAAGAATCCAAGAAGGGTCAAGAGCAGGTGCTCTGTAAAGTTCTCAATTCCTTTGACCTCTTGTTCAGGAGACTCATTTAGCTCAAGGATGGAGAATGGGAGCTGAGTGGTCCCCAGCAGGTAGCCAATCAGTAACACGAGAACAGTTGGAGACCACTTCCCCCAACTCCAAAGGAATGAATCCACCCCTTAACAGACTTTAGCAGTTTCCGGTGCATTTTGCGTCTAGCCCCAACGTCCCCTGGATCAAAGAAAATACACATATATATTCTGCCCAAATAAAGGAAATCAAAGGTTGGGCGGTTGCTAACGCAGGAAGACAAATCCAGAGCTAATCTAGTCCTTTCCTATAAGGCAATTGCTTTGAGCCCCTAGATAACGTCAGCTAGGATTCCTTCCAGACCAATGGGCTCCAAGGAATCCTGTGGCAAGTGACGCCCCAGAAAGTAATTCCAGTGAGAATGAAGTTTCCACAGATAGCCTCAATGTTCTTCCTTCCGGACTTTGTGCCTAGATATTTGGGGATGCCTGAGGCTAGGGGCGTAACCGTGTCTCGCTGCAAAGCTAAAGGGCACCCAAGCAGAATAAAGGGCAATCCACCACCGCGGTGGAAAGTGGGGGAATGTGTGGGTGTGTGAGGGTGGGGGATGGGAGGAAGCCGATCTGGGTTATAGAGGGTGGATTGAGCAGAAATCCTAAACGTAAATCTCAGTCTCCATCTAATAGGTCAGGGGAAATTTAGGGAGACCCACCTCTCTGAGGCTACTGCAGTCTTCTCCAGCCCGTAAATCTACTCACTACCGAGAATTCCGGGGCAGACCGATTCTGATACTGACCCCCAGTGGGGGATCTGAGCTCTCCAAGTCCCCTACACCAACCCACGCGTTTTCCCCAAGGCAATTTAAGGGTTCTCTTCCGTCAGCCCGGGTTCGCCATCCCTTCTCTTGGGGCCACGGCAGGCCCTGCTCTCACCGTCCATGGGGGCGCCTCTCTTCTTCGCTGGGTTCCAAGCCCACACCGTGCCGCCCCTTCCCTGTGGCCGCCTGCCTGCCTGCCAGCAGTCCAAGGCTGTGAGCTCACGTCCTCATCCGCGGACTCCGCCCCAAACCTCCGGGGCCCCGGAGCCCAGGCATTACGAGGCGGGGCATGCCCAGCACCCTATTAGGAGGGAGGGAGGAGCCTCCGAAAGTATTCCGCGGGGAGCACAAAGCTACTTCCGGCAGCTCTTCGGGCGCAAAGGCTTCTGGGTCTTGTAGGCGCCGTCCCTCCTCGCGGGCCTCTGCTTCCCGAAAGGCTCTGCGGGCTGAAGGGACGTAAATGCTTCCGGAGTCAGGTAGCGACGTCACGGGTAAACAGATTTTGTAGCCGTGGCAGCGGCTGAGAGTGCCAGGCTGGGCGCGGGCAGTGGCTGATCCCGGAGCAGCGGTGTGTCGACTTCTGCCTGTGCCACGGCGAGCTGCGGCTCCGGGGCCGCCAGGTAGGCAGCCCGCGCCGGGGACCCAAGCGCACCGAGGGTGAGATGAGCCCGACAGGCTTGCGAGGAAAGGCAGTCCCAGGCCGAAGGAAACGTGGAAATTCTGCTCGACTGTTTTGGGAGCGGGAGCAGTTTTCCATCCAGTGTGGGCCTGGAGGTTTATGCGTCGATTCTCGTAACGACCTCAGGAGGGAAACTGTGGCTCGAAGGGATTCAGGGGGTTTACGCAGTAAAGACAGCCAGCCCCCTGGGGCTCCGCGGCCTCTCTGACTTTCTCCTTAGCGCTCTCCGCCCTCATCCCAGAGCTGAAGTGTGCTCGCAGTCCAGGTGTGCATCTGGGAGAGCGCGGGGAGCGGAGGGCGGAGGGCGTGTCATCACTCTCTGGGAGCTCCGACAGCCGGCTCGGCCCTGGTGTCGGTGTCCTGCAGCTGCGCCAGCGCGCTGTGGTGCCAGTGGGTGGACAGTCTCGTAGTCCGCGGTGAACCTTCTTCCTGCACTCTTGCCTCGCCCTGACCCTTCCCATTCACTGATCCCCTCCAACTCTACCTCTGGCCCGGTCTGGCCTTGGATCTTGCCTCCTCACTCGTCCCCAAGCCCCTACATTCACTTCTTTCCTAAGTCCAAGCCTCGGTGACAAATGGCTTCCTCTGTTTTCAGTCATTCATTCCACAGACATTTACTGGGTGCCAGTTAGGTGCAAGCACCATGCTAGATACTAGGCTTATGCTGAGGAATAAAGTAGGTGTACTCCGCCCATTGTTCCCTCCATTTCATTCTCCCCCTCGAGCCAGTGATCTCCCTAGACAGCATGTCTGTCACTTACCCGAGAATCCAGTGGCTGCCCATTATCCTTGTGATGAAATGCAAGCTCCCAGCTTTCAGGGCTCTCAGAGACCCAGCTGTAGCTTGCCCATCTAAGCCTCATCCCCTGCGGCGCTTGGCCTAGATCACTGTTTCAACCACGGAGGGTCTTGAATGTTAAGTTTCTTATAGCCCCGGAACTGTCACATGTCTCCCTTCTGCCTGCATTGCCTTCTGCATTCTCTAGGTCTCAGCTTATGTGTCCCCTTTTCAGAGGCTTTTTTTGCACCCCTGCCCCCATATAAATGATGCTCTGCTGCAGCTTCATACTGCACCACGTGCCTTTCTCTATACTATTATTACAATTTGTGATTATTTGTTTACTATCAGACAGTATTTTCTTCATTATACTATCTCCAGAACAGAGACAGATTAAGTGTTTCTGAGTAAATTCGTGCACTCAGGGTAATGGAAGATAAAGCAGATGTTTGCTCCCTCGGGTTGAAGCTTTTTAGAGCAGCTTATCCAGTTAATTGCCTGATAAGTATTAAATGTTATATTTATTAATTTAACAGAGCTTGCAGGAAGACTTATTTTTCTTAAAAAGCCCACTCATTCGGGAAGCTCCAAATGATTAAAATGTTTCCAAAGGAAGATGCTAGCTTCCTTAACTTCCTAGATTCCAGTGATGCTGAGGGCTCAGGACTGTAGTGGTATACCGCCAGCCAACACACATGTATTGATGTGGCCCACACAACTACTGAATTTTTTTCCTCCCTTGAAACCTTCCTTTAAAAATCAGGTTTCAAATATGAATCTAGATTTCTCATACTTTTGAAGTCAGAAGTGCTAGCAAAAATGTTTCTTCTTTGGAACACCTACCCTGGACAGTCACTCCCAGAATCACCCAGACTTCTCTCAGGAAGCTGGAAGGGAAAGAGGTGAAGGGGAGGTGGGAGCAGAGGGAAGGGCAAAGCTTTGTAGGGCAAGGTGATGGGAGCCCTGGAATGCGGGGTTCCAGAACTGGTCTGGCAGCAAATGTGTAGTCCTGAATAGTTTTGCCTCCCTTTTTAGCAGGGCATGTACTCAAGTGTTATCCCCCCCCCCAAAGATTGATTTATTTATGCATACAGGGACTGGGGTACAGGCCAGAGGTGCTGGGGGGGGGGGTGAGAGGATTCACCAGAGACAGGAAGAGCAGAACAGGCAGATCTGATACACACTGCTGAGGGGAGCGGTGGGTGAGGGGGGGGGGGGTTCCTGCTGCGCCATGTGGGTCTGCTGGCCTGGGGATCAAACTTGTGCTGCAGTGATTGTGGTTATCTTCATAGTGCTGAGATTTGACACCCTTGCACCACCAGGGAGGCCCTGTTTGTTTTTTTAAGTCAGGATGAGGGTGAGTTTTGAGTATTTCTTTCTCAAAAAGTGAGGTATCCTTTAGACCAGGAATGCATATGGTTGGGGAGGAGAAGATAGCTTTGCAGTTCTCTGTGGCTTACCAAAAACAACCCAAACTCCTTAGCTGAGCACACAAATTCTTGATTGACTTCAACCAGTTTTTTCTGCCCCATCCTTTGTTCTTTCCTTCTAGGCAGATAGGCTCTGTCAGTGACTTCAGGCTGTAGCCCATGCTGTTTCCTCTGCTTGGAATGCCTTTCCCTGGCCTCCTTACTTGGTATGTTCTCGCTGATACACCGTCCCATGTTTTCTGCTAGAAAGGGACTGACTTGGTTCTCAGATGTGTACAGTATCCTGTGGCATATATTTGGGGTGATGGTCTTCCTCCCTCTTCCTACTTTTTTAACTTTTTAATTCACTCAGATTTCTTCTTTTACTTGCTTTCTGTGTTGTTGAAGTGCATGTATTTGAACAGCTATTTCATGTCCTTTTGGGTACGTAACTGGGGGTAAATAGAGGTACTGATGACTCACAACTTAATTCAACTGTCATTCCTAACCCTCACCCCAAGTTAATTGCTCTGTCTTCCTCTGGTGCTTTAATGGTATTTCTGCACAAACACTTCGGTATAATGTTTCAGTTTACATGTCTGTCTTCCTCCAGCTAAACTCTGTGCTCCTCCAGGGCTTGCACCATGTTGCACTCATCCTTGTACCCCCAGCATCTAGTGCTGGCATGTAGTAGGCACTCCAGAAATGTGTGTTGAGTGAACGATGCCTCTGACAAGCAACTGGACTTTATTCTTTCCTGACCCTTGCTCCTATGACACACCTCCTCCTGGCTGCCACTGTCACCCCTTCAGAACAGGACTTCTCTAGGGAAGCTGGAAGGGACACAGGTGAGGCTCAGAGAGGTGGAGGCAGAGGGAAGTGGGGGCTTTGGATCTTCTCGTTTTGGGACATTGGCTTTCCTGGGGGCAGGAGTGGGCTTGGGCTGGAAGCAGATGCTTCCTTGGGTGGCTGGGAAGAGATCAGGGATTGGGGCTGGTTTCTTTGCAGCTATGGCCAAGGATATCCTGGGTGAAGCAGGGCTGCACTTTGATGAGCTCAACAAACTACGGGTATTGGATCCAGAGGTTACCCAGCAGACTATAGAGCTCAAGGAAGAATGCAAGGACTTTGTGGACAGTGAGTATCACTTCGGGAGAGAAGGTGCATTCAGTTCAAACTACCATTTGCTGCAAATGTTCGCCCACAGATCGTGGCCTGCCAGACGAGCTGCTGGCTTTGCGGGGAGGTAGGGTGGGCCTGGCCTTCCTGTATTCCTGTGTACTGCCTGTCTTGTCCACTTGCCCCTCTCTCATGCCCTATTGTGTTCCCAGCTGGGCCCTGTTCCCACTGGGCTGAGGAAAGGAAGGTGTTTTCAGATATGCCATCTTTTTGTTCCCTCGCCAAAAACTTCAACTTCATGGGACAGGGGTGGGAAATAGTTATGTGTTCGAGATTTGAATGCTTGGGAGAAATTGTTCTCAGTGGCAGGCCTGCCATTTGGAAAGAAAGACCTAAGAAAGCCGCCATTTTGCCAGCGATCTCTAGGACACCCCCTGTCCCAGCAGCCAGGCAGGCTGGGCAGTGATTGCAGGCCAGATTTAGTTGAGCAGAGATTTCTGAGCCTTCTGGGACTTCCCAGGCTGTGGATAGTGCTTGACTGGCTAAAGGCAGCATAGACTCTATGGCCAGGGTTCTGAGATTGCTGGGTGTGTGCTATCCCACTGCTGAGAGCCTTAGCTTATGCCTTAGTGAAAGGGGGTTCCACCACATCCAAGTGAATGGGAGGTTAGGCACTTAAATACATGGTGCTGTTTATTAACTTGGGTTACAGTCAGAGGCCCCACCCCACCATTAATGACTTATCTATGACTAGTAAGAGGCACATGTTCAGGCAGTATTTTCACACAAGGTCCTTTCAGGAACACAGCCCTTTTGCTTCCTGCCACTGCTGGGAGAGTGAGGTGGGTTCCAGCTGGGCCTGGTGCCCTCACAAGCCCGAGGCAATAGCACTGGCTGGCTCAGAGAGGACTCAGCATGCCGTGGCCCAGCCCTGGGTACCTGACCTACCTTCCCCAGGTTCAGACCAAGCATGGGAGGGTAGGCTAGCAGGCACCCATTGTGTGGACACAAAGTAGAAGGCAGTAACCCTGCCCTCTCCCTGCCAGGGAATATGAAGGGAGAGTGGTGGTGCTGAGAAAGTAAAACATTTTTTGTTCTTTTCCCAAAAGAAATCGGCCAGTTTCAGAAAATAGTTGGTGGTCTAATTGAGCTTGTTGACCAACTTGCGAAAGAAGCAGAAAATGAGAAGATGAAGGTAAGACGAGTATGTTTTCTGTCTGTGTGGCGGTGGGGACCTTGGTTCACTAGCCTCTCATTTTTTGGGCAAGGAAAGGAGAGAGAAGAGTGGATTCTTTAATTAAAACTAGGTTTGATCCAGTTAACCTACTATTAAACTCTTCATGCCAGTAGACTTTGTCATTTTCTTTAATTTTCACATCATTCGTTAGGTGGTTTCCCATTTTATAAATGAAGAAATAGAGAGTACAGATGCCTTGGCAGAGGACATGAGGCTCAGTGGCACCCAGGCCCTGGCACGTGCAGGGGCCTGCATTAGAGCTGCCCTGCCGTTCCATCACGCAGTCTGGACCACGAGGTTTATCCTGCTCCTTGACTCCTTAAAACTTAAAACTCGGGGGCTCCAAGTTTGCCCTGCTAGACACCGGGGTGGCCTCCAGGTGGCCTTCCCCAGTGAGGACTTAATGCTGAAGATGGTTTAACGAAGCCATGACCTTCTTTGGCAATACTGTCTCTAGGCCATTGGTGCACGGAACTTGCTCAAATCTATAGCAAAGCAGAGAGAAGCCCAGCAGCAGCAACTCCAGGCACTAATAGCAGAAAAGAAAATGCAACTTGAGAGGTAAGATATCATCAAGTGAAGTCTTCTACTGTGCTTCTATTTCTCCATCTTGGTCACTTCGTCTTTACTCATGATCTCAGGAATAGTGTCTTAGTTGTCATCCTTTAAGACCTTTAGAATAAATTTACACTTGATAGGAAAAAAAAGATTTGCTATTTGTTGGTATCCAAGAACCTCTAGTAGCTTGAGTGCATGGGAGTCCAGGTAGCAAGGCCCAGAGGGGACTGGCTCTTTGGGAGAAGACCCGCTGCGGGCTGGACACTTCCCATGGATGGCTTTGTCTTTTTTCTTTCTTGCCCTCACTGATTTCTTCATTCTGGACTGACCCTGTTTCTTAGAATCTTTAAACCACCTATTATCTTCTTTAGAAGAGTAAGTTGGTAGTGTATTTCACCCATTTTTAGGGCTTCTATCAATTTTGTTTTTCAGGTATCGGGTTGAATATGAAGCTTTGTGTAAAGTAGAAGCAGAACAAAATGAATTTATTGACCAATTTATTTTTCAGAAATGAACTGAAATTTTTATAGGAGGGCAAAAAAAAAAAAAAAAAATCAAAAACCAAAACACCTCTGTACCATTCCAGTGACTTAATGACCCAAGTATGTCGTGTGAGATGATTTGTAATGAGTGCAGCTCTCTGAAGGCAATAAAACAAATCTGGGGGAGCTTGTTTCAGATGTCAGTGCATCTCTGCTGGTGAACACCCACTGGCCCTGCTGATCCAGGTCCTCACCTCATGTTCTTAGTCTGAACTGAGCTATCTGTAAGCTTTTTTTTTTTTTTTTGGTAAATTCACAAAAATTTGAAAGGAAAAGCAATAAATTATTGTTTTCAAATGGCCTGATCTACCTCTTTTCCTGATGCCTTTGAATTGCACACTTACCCCCCTGTTAAGAGAGCCCTGGATTCTCTAACCCCTAGTCCACAAAAGAAACCAGGCAGTGGTCAGCAGCTACCTTTATTTGGACCAGACACATGAGTTAGACAGCAGTCCCGACAATCAGACCAGTATGGCTTGTGAGCAAAGAGGTAAAGAGAAGGAACTGACTGGGACGTTTCCACAGTTTTCTATGTGCATTCACATGTCTTTTTTTTTTTTTTTTAAAGAGTTGGCTTTGAGTTTGCATTTAGAGAAAGCTGGTGGAACCCCAAATGCTAACATGGAGACCCTATGTGCACACACTGGACATTATGTTCAGCTGTCTTCCTCCTAGGACTGAGAACAAGATGGAAGGAATGATTAAACTATTAGAAAGGTGAAGTGATCCAGGAGGAAGTACACTCCAGATCAGGCTGGATATCAGATCTCAAAGGTACTATGTCAGATGGTTTGTAAAATGCAGAGTAGGTTTGGAAAGAAGAGAAACAGACTTAAAACTCTTCTCCTGCGACAGAAAACATGATGAGAGATTTTGAACATGAGAGACAAGATTTCCCACTCTAAAATGGACTCAAGCATCCCACTAATTTCGCTGACTAGTGATATGCTGTAGAGAAACATGAGTCAAGGGTTTAGTCAAGTGTACTGGGGGCGACATGAACGTGCCAAGCAGGCCATGCCTCTTGGTTTGGTCTCACGTTTAAAATCCCGCAGTGGAACCTAGGCCCACACTGCACTGCTGGGCACCACTTCCCTACACCTAGCCCACACCCTTCTGCCAGTCAGCAGGTGACAGGTCTGTTTGTGCCAGTGCCCATGGGAGGGTCTGACTTGGCTCCTGCCAGTGTCTTGCTCTTGTGTGTTGCTGCCAGTATTTCCAATGCTACCAAAGATGTGGGTTCTGAGCAGTTTTCCTTGTACTGGGTCGACAGGAAACTGCCCTGTGGGCATCTCTCCCCTGGCCCAGTGGTGCTTTCATTTTTTCTTTCTTTTCTCCTCAAACTTGTAGTGGGGGCTCCGCAACATGAAAAACAGAAGCATGAGAGGGATGAGCAAGTAGGGGGCATAGACAGAAGCAAGGGTTAGTCGTTCTCGGATAGTTTTAGGTCCTTGTCCTTTGAAACCACTGGCTTTGGAGAAATCCTCAAACAGAAACGTGGAGAGAATTGGAATTAGCGTTGTTATGGTGTGGACTGCGTAGATGATTGCAGGGGTGCGGATCCACTTGCAGCCTCCTGAGGTCATGAGAAACAGAGAGAGCGAGCAGATTAGGCGTGTTCACGACTCCAGGGTTGCTCTACCCTGTCTCTGTGGGCGACATTCAGTTGAATCACTTTCCCTCCTTTCCAAGTGGACACATGGAAAATTGGATGTTTGTACTACTATTCAACTTGAAAAATCATTTGACAGCTGGGGCCCTAGCATACCAAACCTAGAACCAAGGGTGGGCCAGATTTTAATTCAGAAAAAACTTTACAGCAGTAAATGGCCAATACTGGTTTAGACCCACTTGATCTAAAATTCAAGCTTAGGAGCTGTGGTAGTGGCACCTGTTTATTATGTCATACCAGAGAAAGGGTGACAAATTCTGTCAAGAGAGGGGTGCAGAGGGTCCGGGGGAATCGCTGTACAAGCCCAGTTATCACATACAGGGGGCTGGCCGCCTTTATGATGGCCTCAGTCAGACAGCAACACGGTCAGAATAATATTCGATGAGAAAGTAAGCCCTTCTGGTGACTAGTTTGGTGCTACTGTGTTTACAAGTTGGTAGAATACTATCAAAAGCAGAAAATAAAAGTTAACAATAACAGAAAAATTCTGTACACACAGGGAATAAAGAAGGTAAGTTCATCATTTAGGCACCTCCAGGTTTCCAGGTGACCAAGATAGGCAGTACCTTTACTCTGAATGTCCCTTTCCTAGCGCCATCCTGTCCCTTCCTGTCACATCCTTCCTCACCCCACACCAACCAGAGACCCTCCCTTCTTGGAGAGTCCTCCCCCAAAGATTTCTAGGCCCTGACGTCAGTTCAAAAAAAAAAAAAAAGGATCTCTCCCCACGATTTACCAACCTTTGAAGAAGGCATAAGTTGCGATGGGAAAGAAAGGCAGCTGGAACACAAGCTCACAAAACAGGAAGGACTTAAACCACGACGGGGGGTCCTGCAGCAGAGGGTCCTTGAACTCTTTTACATACCACTTCAGCAGCTTTGTCAGCTGGGAAAAGAGAAAGGTCTCATGAGTGTGGCCACCTGCCACCACGCCTAGCCATTGTTAGAATCTCTTCAACTACAGAATGGCTCGCTCGGGCATTGGCGATGCACCCTAAATGGTGACTTCACACCACCCCACTGGCTCCAGCGCGCATGCTACCCTGTCTGGGAAGCCTTCCTCAGCTCGGCAGCCCCTCTGTGCCACCTGGCTTCAATTCCTGACACTGTGACACACAACTGGCTGTGTCACCCACTGGCAAGAGCATTTGCATCTGGCACTCAGTAGGTACTCAGGATGTTTCTGAATGCACAGACAAATGGTACATATCTGCCAACAGTATTCTTTATAAACACCTTTGGGGAAACATCTGACACCTGTCCTATCGCAAGAGCTCCTGCACAGCAGCTCTGAGGGCGCTCTTTCCTCAAATACAGAAATGGACTGAATTTCCTTGTCTTTATATTTTTGGAGGATGGTAGTGGAAAGGAAGTGAATCGAAGTCCCAAGGTCTTCATCATTCTTAACACCCTGTTTAAATGCTACTTTTTTAAACGAGACTAGCTGGACTTTTATGGAAGAACAAACTGCCTCAAACCACAAACTATAGCTTCTAGGCTACAGCGAGTCCTGAGAGAGTGATGTGTGTCAGTTCTAGCTTGGGCCACACCCTCATAATTATGCTGTCAAATCAAAAGATGCAGACACACACAGTGCTGCAGATGGAGGACGGGCGAAGCAGGCGCCCACAGAGGAGGCTCCTGCCCATTCTGTGCTTTTTTAAAAACCCAAAGCCCGGGGCTGTCCATGCTACGTGGACTACTGGACAAGCTGGCACTCCTGGAGGTTTCCATGGGCAGGGGCGTTGTCTTAAGACACCTGCCTTCAAAGACATGTGACTTGGTAGTGTGATGAACTTCCAAGGTAAGATACAATGGAAAATCCAAGAGATTTTTCCTTTCAATTTTTGATCAAAAGCTAAAGGTTCACTACCGTGAAATAGATGCCTCATTGCTGCGAATGACCTTTAAGCAAAAAGCCAGAAACAAATTCTCTGTTAGTATAATGTTAACTTCAAGAATGCTCTGGCTAGATAAACAATTTATTGACCAAGTGTTCTCTGATTTCCACATGATTTGGAATTTAAATTCACAGTGACACCTTCAGCTCCCTACTAAGCACTTTTCAGAATGGTATCAGAAAATACTATAAATGTTAAATCACTCTACCCTAGGCTGGGTTTCCTAGTCTGTAAAACAAGCAATCTGGACTAAATGTTTTTTAAGATCCCATTTAGCTTTCTAGGTTTATTTTTTTAAAAAGATTTATTTATGTATATAAGAATGAGATGCAGGCTAAAGGTGTGGAGGATAAGAGGACTCACCAGAGAAAGTGGGGAACAGAACAGGCAGATTGACTGAAATATACTGCTGAGGGGAGCACTGGGTGGGTCAGGATGTGGGTCAGCTCCCTGGCTGGGATCAAACTTGTGCTACAGTGACTGGAAAGTTTCTCAGTGCTGTGCTTTAACCTGATGTATCACCAGGAAGGCCCCATTTTAGGTTTACTTTTAAAAAATACTGAAGGCATCTCTTTCGGCCCACTTGTGTCTATGCAAATGTCTATATTCTTCTGTCCTTTTCCCTAATAAACCTGCCTTTAAAAAAATAAAATAGGGCCCTCCCTGGTGGTACAACAGGTTAAAGCACAGCGCTATGAAGCTCTCCAAAGCCATGTTAGCGCAAGTTCAATCCCTGGCCAGGGAGCTGACCCACATGGTGCAGCAGACCTCTCCTGACCCGCCCACTGTTCCCCTCAGCAGTGTATTTCAGTTGACGTGCCTGTTCTCTCCCCACTCTGTCTCTGGTGTATCCTCTCACTTCCCACCCCCATACCTCTGGCCTGTACCCCAGGCCCCATAAATAAATCTTAAAAAAAAAAAATACTGGAATGAACTACCTAATTTAAAAGATTCTAATTTAAAAGATTGACTGCTGCAGGGGCCTCCCTGGTGGCTTAGGGATTAAGTCTCAGTGCTACCACTGTTTTATGGTCTGAGTTCCATCCCCAGCCAGGAAACCAGCCCACAATAGGGTACAGCAGACCTCACCCACTGCTCTCCTCAGCAGTGTAATTCAGTAAATCTACCTGTTCTGCTCCTCACTGACTCTGGTGAATCCTCTCATCCCCTGCACTTCTGGACTACAGCTCTGTTCTTTTATGCAAAAATAAATAAAAATTTAAAAATAATAAAAGATTGACTGCAGAATTGGAAAGGCAATTTGCTTCATTTGAACTTCATTTTCTATTCCAATTTATTCAGTCTCAGATTCACCTATTTCATAAATCGTGGCTGATCTGTATAGCACTGGAACTTCTAGGGTTATAAAATGAGATTTGCAAAAATTAAAGCCCACTTTGTAGTCATCAATAGAACCCAACTACCTGCCCAGTCAGACACCAGCCACCTGCGGACAAGAGGGCGGGACTAGGGGTGGGAGGCAAGACCCAAGCCATCAGCAGCATTAAGGGCATGGGGCCTGGTGGGAGAGGGCTTGGTGGGAGAGGACCTGGCAGAGCCCTTAATCTCACTAACCTTGTTCCCATCTATAAAATAGGGCCAGTTATACTGTCTACTGCATTGTGGTAAGATCTGTTTTTTAATTTTAATAAAATGAGTTTAGAACAATGACTAGCATGTTGTAAATATTAATGTTACTTAGTTGAATGTAATTAACAAATATTTGGAGAGGTTCAAGTTTACTCCTATTAAAATCTCAGCATACAACTGGCCATTAGTAAAAAGTCTTAGATGGGGCCCCAAAAATATCATGAAATTATCTCCATTTATATCTGACTCACTTGACTCAACTTCCACTGTTATTCATTAAAATATTAACCTTGGGCCTCCCTGGTGGCACAAGGGGTTAAGTCTCAGCACAATGAAGCTATCTATAGCCACTGCAGCACAGAGTTGATTTCTGGTCTGGGAGTGATCCACATGAAGTAGCAGACCTCTCCTGACCCACCCACTGCTTCCCCCAGCAGTGGATTTCAGCCAATCTGCCTGTTCTGCTCCCCATTCAGTCTCAGGTGAATCCTCTCACATACCCCCTCCCCATACCTCTGGCCTGCACCCCAATTCTACACTAGTTGTTACTTCTCTAACTTAGAATGAGGACACAGACTCACTTTAGACCTAGATACATCTTTTTCCTTATTTTAACAGAAGCAATGCTACCCACTGCAGATACTACAAAATGTTTCCCATCCTCTATGTTCTAAGTGTTGGTTTTATTCAAACCAAGAAAGATACTTAATCTGCAAATTTTAGCCCAATCATTATGTGGTCTCCCACAAGATGCTTAGTTGTAGGGAAAAGTTCTATTTAGGGAGGAGAGACATTAAATTTTAGTTTTGCCAGAGAGAATCTTGAGAATAACTTAGGGCTTTATTACTTCCCCCATAAAGAAGCAACAAAACCTTTATCCCTCCCTACCTGGCCACTCTCCCCAGCAACAAAAGTCATAAAGATGAAGGCCTTCCAAATCAGGTTGCCTCTAAGCTGCTAATGCTTTCAAACAGAAGTCACAGGCATATATCCCCCGAGTGAGAACTTGCCTGCATTAAACTTCCACCTTTTACAGTAAGTCATCATAAAAAAAAAAGTTCAGAAAAGCTTACCAAATCAAATATATAAGTTTAGAGGGGATGCTTATGAAGCTGGGTATACTTTAACTCTACTTTGAGTGGTGAGCAAGAGACTGTGGGAAATGCGAGGTGACAAGGAACAAAGAAACTAACAGCTGTTAAGTCTGGAACGGCTGCCTGGAGTAATACTGTTTAACTGCCCAGTATTAAAGGCACCAGTAACATTAGAGATTGTAAACAGGCAGCCTGCCCAATTCCTAATGAGCACACAGGTTTTGAAAACCAGATATAGCTCTCCTTTCTTCAAGGCAATTAAACGGCTCGTGCAGGGCTGCAGAGACCTGCCTGGAAAGAGTCTACACTACCTGAGCCAGTGATAGTCTGAATGATGGTCCCCAAGGATGGTCATGGCCTAATTCCTGGAATCTGTGAATGGAAACTTATTTGGCAAGAGATTCTAGGTGTGACTAAGCCAAGGATATTGACATGGGGGAAGGGGGGACTGGAGGGGTGGGTTAACCCACTTATCTGGTTGGCCTTAAATGTCATTATAATTGTTCTTATAAAACTGGGGTAGAGGGAGATTTGATGATAGAAGAAAAGGCAGCAGAAATAATGAGAGAAGCAGAGATCGATGTGATGTGGCTAAAAGCCAAGGGATACTGGCAGCCAACGAAAATTTTAGGCAAGAACAGATTCTCCTCCAGGATGCAGAGAAGGAACCAGCCTGCTAAAACCCTGATTTTAACACTGTAAGATTTATGTCAAACTTCTGAACTGTAAGAAAATAAATTTGTGTTGCCTTAAGTAAGCCACTCTGTTTTTAGTAATAAGGTACAGCAGCCAATAGGAAGCTAATATATCCTGTATATATCGGAACTTGTAATTTAACCCAACTCTCTCTGGACAGTTGAGGCAACAGAGCCCTCATTTGTCAAGGAGTTTTTAAAAGAACTTAGTTTCCAGGCTGCAATCCAATGCTGTTACCATATGCTACCTCCACTTTTCCCAAGGAAAGGTAGATCAGGGACTTCCCAATTATGCTAGGTCCTAGAAATAATGTTTAGCAGTGGTTCTTAATCTTCTGGTGAGGCCTAGACGCCTGGAAAGGCTGGTGGAAATTATAAATTCTCTTCCCAGAATACACAAGACACACACTGGTTTTGCATACCCTATGGGGGTTTCCTGGACCTCAATATAAGAACCTGTACTCTGCAGAGAAAAAATATTTTTAAGGATAAACAGGCGAAATTCAATCTTCGAGTAGACAAATCAGCCTTGCCCACAGTTCTACAGACAAGTTGGAGAAACAGAACTGAAGACAGATATTCCACAGAAGGTTACAGCGTCCAGAGAACAGAACATAAAACGAGCTGTGAAGAAATAAAAGGAAGCAACAAAAATCAGGTATCCGCTTGGGTCTTTTTGGTAAATTCATAAAACTTTGAAAGGAAAAGCAATAAATTATTGCTTTCCTCTCCAAAACCAGGCAATGGAGCTGCTGGTCTTTTTCTACTCAGATGATCATTCTTACTGGACTCCAGTTAAAAGCGCTGATTTGAAAAGGCGTTGCTAACTTAACTTCTTGAAGTTTCTGTATCCTGGCCTGATCTGCCAATGCCCTTTTGACAGGTCTAGTTGTTCTTGGATTTTTTTTTTTTTTGTGATTACATGGCATTTTAAAGTTCTTCCAAGAAAAACAACTTTAAGTCAAATCTAACACGTGATTTAGACATTGATTCATTTAGGCCACTTCCCTCAAATACCGACCGAAGTGAGTTGTGGGAGCCTTAAACATACTCAAAGAAGGGCTTTCTTTAAAATGGATAGCGTATGCGCCCCAGCAGTTTTGGGGGG